CGTTTCGCCTTTTTTTGTTTATAGCATTCTGAAGCGTGACATCATTCAAGGAAAGCATTTTCAGGCGTCGGACCAAAACTCTGCAGATGAGGATTTAATAAACAGCTGTTTTGGTGCGCCATTATCGCCCAGTTCTTCTAGTAGGCGAACATCCGTAAGCTCACTGGACGGCCTTTTGAGCCCTAGACGTCGAATAAATAAAAGCGCTGAAGCAGACGCGAATACAAGTGACGCAGCGGCTATGATTGCTGAAACGGATCTTTTTGGTGCACCATTGTCACCAAGTCCGGCTCCGGAGAGTCCAGCACACGATACGAAATCATCTGGCAGTATTACTACGTCAGAAGTATCAGAAAGTCTCGACGTGGATCGTCTTGCCATATCCTGCTCTACAGAAAGCGTTTCATTTGAAGCGAATGTACAGTCGGTGAGTATTTTCAAATAAAAAGGAACTGCGCATGAGAGTTACTTGACCTCGTAGCATCGTACGAGTATTAATAATTTGATATTTTAGCCGCCTAATAGAATTCGTATCTGAGTATCAGTGATAAAGAAGCCAACCACTCCAGTAGCCTCTGAAAAGATGGTATTTTTGTATAATCGAAGTGTTGCATAAAAAAATAGAGATGTGCAGGTAACTCTCCAGGATGGAAAAGCCGAACGCACGGCTGCAGTTAACGTTTGATTCCAGCAACATCAGATATCACTCTGAATAGTGCAAGTGCTCTTAATAATTATAAAATTTGATGATATCAGGAAATCTTCGTGTTTTTAAAATTGTCCGAGCTGAATTTTTTGTAACTGTTTTAAAAATTAGAGAAAAAGGTTTCGAAAAAATTCTAAAAATATTGTAGAAATTAGTTAAATAATTATAAAAGTTTAAAAATTTGAAAAAATGACTGATTTCATTGCAAACAATCCGTTTTTAAAAATCTTTTATTTTTCATGAAAATTTAGAAAATGGTTTGGAAAGGGAAATTCGAGCATTTTACTTTCCCGTCATTTTCAGTTATTTAAAGAAAGACATCTTTTTGACAAATAATTTCACGATTTTTTGAAAAAGTCTGCCAATTTTTTTTTTTTTTTGCTTACCGTTTTCGTCATTAATTATGCCAAAATTTTTTGTTAGTAATAAACCGAACTTATTTTTCCGAATTATTCGTTGTGATCATTGATAACTTCCAGCCTGTCGATGTATAAAGTGAGAGGGTTGCTATTTTAGTATGTCCGTCTCTGAGCTTTGTGGCACTCTTTTTGTCCATGCGTTACTTCTCTGGAAGTTATTTAAGTGATAATTTATGCTTTTCGATTGCCAGCTTTTTATCTATTCATCAAAG